AACAGGTTTTGGTAATTCATTAGTAATCACAGTTTTTATGACTGGGTTATGTCATAGAATGAGCTGCTTACTGGTACTGTTGCACAGCTGTACTACTCTGACAGATGTGACTAAAAATGAGGCAGGTGAAGGGCAGCTTTCCTTTTAGGTATAAGGTACCTTTTAATGATGTCCATGCCAGAGACACATGTTTTTTAAGGCTCTTTTCTTAAATAGAGAAAAAGGAAAACATTCAACACATACCCTGACACATCCAGTTCCAGTCTCTTCTTTGACAAGCCCTGAGAGGGTTACCAGTGTATAAGGCAAAGTCTGAACTAGCAGGGTACTTGATAGAACTTGCCACTTTCTAAAACAAGGCCAGCTGTCCATGCTGTGAGAGCATTCTGATGCCTAAGGAACTTTCATTCCAGTCACTTCACCTGTAAAGACTTGAACTGCAGCCCTAAACCATTCCCTCAATCAGTCACCTTAATCTGTAATTATATTTACTGTGACTCTGTATATAATTATTATTGAGCTTGGGTTTTATTGCATGTATTTTAGTTTAACAGAGATTTAAAAAAAAAAAAAAAACAAAAAAAAAAAAAACATTTTAACTCCTTACTGTTTTCTGGTTTCGTTACACATGCCTGCTAAACAACCTTGTTCTTTTTATAGAAGGACTGCAGTAATTGAAACCTTCTAAAGTATTTCTCTTTTTCCAAGGTTACCGACTGTCTGATCAATTCTATGATATCCTTATTCGGAAATTTGACAGACAAGGAAAAGGACAAGTTGCTTTTGATGATTTTATTCAGTGCTGTGTTGTTCTACAGGTAAGAAAGGAGATGTACTTTGATGTCAATTGAAAAAAAATACCTTAAGCTTTTCTGGTTCTCACTTTAACAGTGCATCTAGAACTTGCTCTTATTTATAGTAAGCCATTTGAACTAAGTATATGCTAAGTGCTAGAAACATCCTTGTGTATTGGTCTTCATTAGTAATTCCTTTGTATCTCAAGTAAATTTGATACAATGGGTGAGGGACAAAAAAATAGTATAGGTGTTTGACACTGTCTGTTAGTTTAATACAGACCTCAGAGCTAATCTTGCAAGGGCAGTGGTAAAAATACACAAAAAACCTTCCAGTCTTTCAGTAACAGAGAGTGAGAAAAAGAGAGAGAACATGGAGGGAAAGCAGTTCCCTGTAAAAGTTGCACCGCTGTTACTTAGACACACATCAATCACCTTTGCATTCCTTTGTAATACAAGGCAATTATGGTTAATTGTAGACTTGAACTCTGCTAAAAAGGGCTTTGAAATGGAGTATCACTCAGCTGATGTTAATGAAACCATGCTGGCAGTTGTTCTGTTCCTTTGTCTATACTGCCTGGCATCTCTGGGGTTACACAGAGACACCTCAGATAGCAATGGCACATGAAGCATATTTGCCTGGAAGGTGAGATATGCACAAGGTATGCATTGGATTCTGTTTCCAGATGACTCAAACATTGCATTGGTTTTCCCCCTGCTTTAAAGCCAGTTATAAAAAGCTGTCTGGTCTATATAGAAGGTAACCTTAGGTATTGCATTATATAAGACTGTAAAATGGCTGCAGAGGGGATGAACAGAAAGGGTTCATAAAGCTCAGGTTCAAGAAGCCCAGGTGGCAAGAGGAGTATGTAGCAGTCTGAACTTTCCCCTACAACAAAAATGTCTATTGTTTTTGTCTCTCCTCCTCAGAGGCTGACTGACGTGTTTCGACGATACGACACTGACCAGGATGGCTGGATTCAGGTGTCCTATGAGCAGTATCTTTCCATGGTCTTCAGCATCGTATGACACCAATAACCAGGAATCGCACACTGGCATTACACAGACTGGAGTTGCCAAATCATCCTCTACTGAATAAGATTATGTATTATAATGGATGTAACATCACATTCTTAAATTTTGTATGTTGGTAATCATCGTCGGAATCTGTACTTCACTTGGTTTTATTTTGTATTATTGTATGATATGACCATCTCTGCTTACTGTAGTACAGAAAGCACAGAATCTAGATTTAACCAGTACAATGTTGAACTCTTACACATATCCTGCATGGGAAAAAGGACTCTTTAGAAATGCCAAATTAAAATTATGCTTGTTAGCTTATATCAGTTGAAAGCCAGAAGTTGCACAACATGTTTTGCATGTGCCTTACTTTTATAAGAGTTTAATGTATTAATTTTTAAATACAGAATTTAAAATTAAATTAAAATACCAGGTCAAGTTTTAGTCTGTTTCACTTTTGTACAGCTTTAAGGGGGAGGTGATTTTATTTCTGTATTCTCATTTTCTATGGTTCAGGGATCTCTCCACTTGGATGGCCTTTTTTTATTTTATTTTCTAGCTGTCTCCTTCTTTCAGGGTATCCTTAGGATGGATTCAAATACAACTTCTTCTCACCTGTGAAGAAAGTCGTACTGCATCTCCCTTGATAAGTTCCCCACAAAAATGAACTCTGACTCTGAATATGCTCCTTTTGCTTAGTTGTCTCATTTGACATCAGAAGTCTTCCTTTTTGTGCTGAAGCACTTATTTGAAGTGGCCTTGAATTGACAGTCAGACATTCTTGTAACTTTACCCTACATCTCACTATTTACAGCTAATCAGAGAGTGGAAAAACTCAAGCAAGGCAAGTAATGACTGATTCCTGTCACACACCATCTCTTGCAGTAACTCTGAAAAATCAACTTGGAGGAAGCAAAGACAACCAGAGTTACAATGTTACTTCCAGGTCACCCTGAGACTGGCTCCGATGGTCAGAGAATGGTACAAATAACACCAAGGTCACACGTTCAGTTTCTATATAGTCCATTCCCTGAACAGTTGGACGTAGTGATCCTTGTGGACTCTTTCCACTGAGATGATTCTGATTCTGTCTCACCCAGAGTAGAGTGTCTGGTGTCAGGGTGAAGGCAGCAAAGTGGCAACTGTGCAACTGTTATAAAACATCTGTCATGCAAAGAGGCTGCTACTATTTGTCAAGTGATAGTCAGACCCTTAGTGACAGCTCAGCAACACTCTGAACACTCTTCTGGTGTCAAGTATGTGGGGGAAAACCCATGGCCCCTAGAGCACAAGCACACTGAAACAAGGAGATCCCCCAAAGCACTCTGGGGAGTCTCACCCAAAAGGCAAGGAATTGGTTTTGGGTGAGGAGGGAGATCCAAGAGTATGACCAGTGTCAGAAACCACCTCATCCAACAGCTGTGAAAGTTACGGTGAAGAAAACAAGGGAAAAAGACTTCCACCAGTTACTCTTTGAACCTTCCCTCCCTGGAAGGCTGAGATAGTAACTATATATGCTCTCTCCAGAAACAAAACAGAAAAGAATTCTTTTGAGAATTTCTGGGCTTAAAAGAGCTCCTGTTTCTTTCTACTAAGAAATCTGTCCCTTTGGAGCATACATGCACATAGAATCCAGTAACTCTGGGAAGTGTTTTGAGGACTAAGTCCAAGGTACAAACTAAAAAGTTGGAATCTAAGAAACTTTCCAAGCTGTCTCCCCTGAAAGATGTCTCTATGTCCAGCTGGCCTTGTTGTATTTCACTGCCCTTGGTGCAGAACAGCTGACTCCAGCACTTCCTAAAGGAGCATCACTGATGCAGAGAATCATCAAGGTGGCTCTGGACTGGAACAACTCTTGTCTCACTGGGAAACACTCTTCTGAAGGTGTGAAAGCAGGTACACCAAGATCAAGAAACTGACTAAAAGTAGACCATTTATCCCCAATCCAAGACATGCTCCAGTCTGGGTTTTTGTCACTGGCTTTTTAAGGAAACTGGAAATTTGCTCCAAGGGCTCAGGTGCATTCTGAGAACTACTGCCTCCATGCCAAGGGCTGTGATGTAGCTGCAGTGGTGCTGACGGGTGCCAGGCATCCAGTGCTGCTCTGCAGGTTTGTCAGGACCTACTTTGTGAGGTGGTTTCTTAAAGAAGGCCTGGAGTCTAGACAGAGTTCTGGTCCAGTTCTGTACTACATAGGAGCAAGATATGGTAAAGGGTTTTCTTGGAAGTAAGAAGTACTCAGCACTCTACAGTTCAGGAAAGCTTTAGTAAATCAGTGCTGTCTTACTGCTCCAACTACATTTCCAAAGGCAAGAACTGTTTCCCCAATGCAGGACTCTGCACAACAACAAAGGAAGAACAGTAACTGTTGCCCATAAAGAAAAATTACAGAACATGTAGGTGGAAATAGCATATGATTTGGGTGGAGCTCATCCAGCTACTGTAAGTCACTGGGGTATACAGGGATGGTAGTAAAATCCAAAAGGAGTGAGAAATGGGGAAAAAAAGAGTTCTCTGCAACAACCTCAAATGAAACTTTGAATTAACTTGAACTGACAGAGTTGCAGCAGTAATATTTTCTAGCAACATTTTTTTCTACAGTTTCAGAATTTTAGTTGCACTACACTTTCTGTGAGAAAAAAACTATGCTAGTAACATTTGTATAAATAACTTCTGGTAATTTTTAAATGTAGATATATATAATAACTAATCAATTCTACAGACTTGTAAATCAAAACTCTGGCAGACACCTGTGGCAGAAAAAAGTTTTCCCTTTTAAGCAAGAAGGTTGACTATGTAATACAGTGCATGGAAGTGTATGGCACAACTATGAGATGTATGATGTTATAAACCACTCCAACACTTCAGTAAGTATGAGCAGTGAACAGGAATGAAACACAGTGAACAGGAACAAAAAAGGAAAGTGGATCTTTTCAGACACAGAAACAAAATAATGACAGAAGGAAAACTTTAGGGAATTGAGTTTACATGCTCAATAATAAATTGAGTTGAGTTTTTATTAAAATTTACATAACAAGATCCAAAATGTTTTATGACAGCTCATGAAGACTAACCCTGCTTCAGCACAAGTACTTAATGCACAGAGACACAGTTCCAGCATGGGTGAGAAGAAAAATGATAGTCCACAATGCAGCAGTGAAAAGGAAAACAGACACTCAGGAGTAAACTGTCTCACTTTACTTCTTTTCTTCAGCTCCATGTAAGCTGGTTTTAATTACATAGAGCAGGTATCTAAAGCCAGGCATTCATGAGCATGTGGCTCTGATACACCTCATGAACTGGTAAGTACTCTCAGTTAGTACAAAAATTTGTTTCTTTTTTCCTGTTATTTTATCTGATTGCCTTATGGGTTCTACTATTTCTTAATATGCTTTTGCCAGTAGAAAGAATCAAGAATTTTTATTTTAGCATGGGTCCATCCACCAAATGAGTTTTTAGGATAATTCATAATTATTTCATTTTGAACAACGTGATTAAAAAATTTGCATATATTTCACACCATGTCTTACCCTGCAAATTGAAACTGATATGCCCTGTTACATACCAGTCCTCTAGCACAGATTACGTTTTCCTCACATAGCATCACATTAAGATAGAGAATATTTATGCTGTGACATTCTCCTTTCTTTGTCTAAATAGAAATGTAGTATATCAATTTCTAAAAATATCCTAATTATAAAGCCTCAAATTAATGGAACTGGCCTTACATTTGTAAGGAAGGCCTTACATTGTGAAGGAAAGTAAACCTGTATTTTCAATTAATATTCTTCCTAAGTAGGTAGCATAAAAGTACCTTCCTTTCTTTTCTGAATTGAGAAGGGTATTAAAAGGATTATTAGCTTTTTGCTGACAGAGTAATTTTAACATATTTTCAAAAAATAACGGAAGATCTTTTTTCTGAAATATACTAAGATATAACAAATACATTACAAAAAGACTAAACAAAATAGTATGTTCACCCATTATGTGCAATTCCACATGTGTATATTTCACATGTTAAAAACTTAAACCCTACCTCCCTTTACCTCTCCCAAGCCAGTCAAACACAGAGTTAAATGCAGTCTCTTTCCTGAAAGCCAAGGGATGGAGATTCTCAAATCTCTTCATCTGTTTCCAGTTCAGCTGTTGCTCCTTAATCTTTCTCTCTAGCTTCTATTAGCACATTGACGAATGTCTGAATATTTATTTCTGGAAAGGGCAATAAAGACATTTAGAGTTACTTCTATCTCATAATATTTCCATAATACAACATAGAGAATGAAAATTAAAGTTTTACTGTTAAGTAGTTACAAGTTACATAATTAACTAATTGTAGTACCAGAAGCATAGTTTGCATTTGTCCAAACTCATGCCCAATGACAGCTCTGCAGTAGCATATGCCCACTTCTCTTTAAGTCCCTCTCATAATCTATTTCCAAAGGAGAAACTGTCATTTTGAATAGTATATCACTATTCTCAACATTAATGACTATTTCTACAGCAACTGGAACAAAGAAATTCATACTTAGTGAACCAGCTCCTTGATAACGTTTCTCTTGTTATCCCAATGGGTTTTGGTTCACTTGGATTATCTATTATAATGCCATCCAGGCTTGGTTCTGCAAGCATTCCAGTATTTTTTTCTTTATGCCAATACATTCCCCTCCCATCATTGCAAATCTACCAGTACAAATCATGATACAAACTGCTAGTTAGAAAGATGACCTAGGACAAACCTTTCAATTCAGGAAATTTTTGCACTATCAAAACCTTCTCCCACTCACTGCTCCATCTAGTTGCCAAGAGGCCCAGTGTCCTCAGAGAAGCAACAATGCCTTTCTTCAGCTGATACAGATGTGAGCAAAATGAGCTCGACTTCCCTGAACAGCTCATCCTATCTCTGCCACCCGCAATCTCCTGCCTACGTTACAGCAACTGCGTTGACATAACTCATTTCACATGAGGGAAACTAATCACCAGCTTACTTTGAAGCGCTGGATAATACGGAGCCAGCTGTTTCAGCATCCTGGTCATTGTAGGGACATCCTTTCCTAGCAGTCTGTTCACAGTGTTGGGAGCAAGACCAACATCAACTCCATTAAACATCTCTTCTGAGCTTCTGAACTGCTGGTGATCTTGGTACGAACCACTGCCAGAAAATGAGTCCTGATGTGAACTCCAGTCTCTCTGGTAGCCTGATTTCTGATACCTGAATTCTTGACATCTAGATTCCTGCTTCCAGCTAGAATCCTCATTCCACCTATAGTCCTCATTCCACCTAGTGTCCTGGTGCCACCTGGAGCCACTTCTTCCTGAAACAGCAGAATTTGCAGAAGATGTACAAGTATTCATGGACTCATAGTTCTTGTAAGAGGAATAGTTTTGTGAAGCATAGTTTGTAAAGTATCTTCCAGATGAAGGATATGAGGCAGAAGAATTGGGATAGGATAATTCTTGGTCACTTATATGCCTTGCTTTGGTACACACTTGTTGATTCCATTTTGTACTTTCTCTGCCAAATGAGAGTCTATTATCACAGAGCTCACTTCCTTGCACATCACTGGATATGTATTCTGCTGAGTACTCCTTCACTGGGCTGGTCTGGTATGGAGAGGCCACAGCAGCCAAATCCATGCAGGGCATGGAGTTTCTGAGCTGTCTCAGCCATTCGCTGACACCATTGGCAGGAGTGTCAGGCTCAACAGCAGGAGAGCCCCCGAGCAGAGACATACTCGCAAAGTTGGCCGACGTCAAATGACAGGAGGATGATCCATCACCTGCTTGGTAACTGTTTGAGTGAGCAGGAGCAAAAGAAGCATCTTCAGAACACTCTTCATACTGGGACAAAAAACCTTGATTCCAGTCAGAACTTCCTGAATAAATAAAGGGCACTTAAAATTAGCAAAGTATTAAATTACCAGCTGCAAACACAACTACTTTGAGATTTTATGATGTGTACTTCTGTTCTTTCCCATTTCCTGCCTTTATGTCTTACCTGACTTTGGCATCTTTTCACCCAAAAATTCAAATAGTAAGTAGGTCAGGAAGGGTTACTGCTTGAATTTCCATAACCTTAACTGCTATAACACTGTTCAGTGAGACAGGAATGTTTGCAGACAGTAAAGTCATTAAAGCTCCAGAAAATTATATCCTGAACTGATTCAGACAGCACAGGCTGTACTGGTACTTAGCTGGTACACCAGCTAAGAAGCACTATGGCTGGTCATAAAAGTAAATTTTCACAATCTGTGCAGGCTTCAGAGTAAACAAACTAGTAGGAAAAAAAAATCTAAATTACCTTTGTATTCTACATCTGGCCCATAGTGTTCTGTGATGCTTTTCCCTTCTGGAAATTCATCTTGAGGTACTGACATCGGGGGGCCTAAACTGTTGGTGTAATTACCCTAGGTAAAGCAAAAGGTCAGAATGTCTGTTTGCAAATGCAAGAATTTAAGAACTTTACAAATTCTAAAAATTCCCATAGAAAGTTCGCAAAGTACAATTTTAAGTGATAGCAGAATCCATATGAGGTGTGTGTTGTTACAGATTATACCACTATTTTCCAGTGTTATTTGGAAGAGGTACGTTCCTGGAGAACAGAAGGAGGTCTCTGGTGAAGACAGTGTCTCCTGTTTCAAATTTATTGCCTCATCTCTCTTATCATCACCTGGCTAAAATATAAAACTGCTGCATAGGCAAATCCTGCCTTCATCTGGGGAATGCAGAATGGAAAGCCCAGCTGAGAGATTAAGCAACAGAAACAATATTTAACTGATGTTGGTATCAGCATTTGCACAGAGACAGTTACTGCAGCTCACCTGACATGGAATATACAATTGAGAAAACAGTCTGAAACAGCTTTCAGAAAAAAATAAAACCTGAATTTTGTGAACCAGTAGCTGCCAGAGTGATGAATCATTTTTTTCACAGATTCTGGTCCTTCAGATTCCTTTTTCTACAGGTAGTCAACCTCTTTGCAAAGGAGCTATGAAGGTTTGTAAAGACCAACAGATAGTCAAGAACATCTTGCCTACCTTAATCTTAACAGATTAAATCTCTCAACTGAGAGCAAAGCTACAAGTTATGAGAAAGACAGACCTACCCACTGTCCCATGAAAGAAAAAAGTGGCACATTTGAGTGGCACTTAAAGCCCCATTGATCTTAGAACAAAAGCTAACAAGAAAGGGACCACCACAAAAATGATGACAACCTGCCATCATTAAGAAAAATGCTGCCCAGAACAGAACACACACGCAAAAAAAAAAGCCAAAATAGACACGTGATGACGGAATACTAAGAGAAATGCGCTATGTAATTAATATACTTGTTACTTAAAAATTGTAAAAAAAGAAAATTGAAGTACATGTAACTGGAGGTTTTCACTCATGCCTCAACTGTTACAGGTTGGCAGGGTGAGTTTACAGGTTAACACAGTGAGTTTAACCACTCCTTTCCTCCCAATGGTAAAACAATTCTGGACAAGGTTAAGTTACTTACTGCTGCTTTCTTTTCACAAAAAGCCTTCAAAGCCTCCATGAGTTCCTGTGTAATGCGAACAACAAGTGTTGCTTCTGAGTCTGAGGTGATGTGAAAAGTCTCCTGCCGAAAAACATGGTTAGAATTCATCATTAGGATGCCAAAGGGTCAAAGACACAAACAGATCAAAGTTATACTTTGATTTTTGTATAACCAAATTTATACTATTGGCTAACATATGGCATATATGAAAAATGTATACAAAAATATCAAAAAAAATAAAATTGGGAGCATAATTATGGCCTGATAAAAGGTAAAACATATACTTGGATTTCTGTGCCGCTCTTGTACTGTCAAGTCCATAAACATTTTGTTGCAGACAGAGAAGGACAAAAGTCCTAAATTTATATTATCTGTGTAGAAAATGGAATAAAAACAAGCTTCAGGCTGATTACTAAGTAAATGAATTTATAAGTGATTGCAGTAATTTCAAAGAATATAGGCAGTCTTTTGTAAGGAATAGCTGTGATTCCTGTACATAAGTCAATTAACTACCAAGTTTTTTTGTAGTTTACTGATTATCCCTTAGACATGCTTTTTCTCTCTCTCTTTCTGAAGTCACAAGTAACCACAGTGTGGAATGAAGCACACATTTCAAAACATTCTACTTCTGATTTTGGTATATAAACACAATTTGAACTCAAATGAAACTTTCCAATTGCATTAGGTACAGAACATGACTTTCACAGAGTAGAAGTCAGGTATTTTCATAAACCCAAAAGAGACAAAATGAGGCTTACTATGCCACTGTCAACAGCAACAGAACTGATAAAACTTCCCCAATCTCTCCAAGACCAGCAGCTGTGCTCTGTCTGGCAGCCAGACCAGACTGGCTCCTCTTGCTCAGCATTATCAACAATCCCATTAGATGTGGGCAGCCAGCAGCACTTGAGCACCATCAGTGCTGCTAATCAACACTACTTGTCAGGGTGGCTCCTCAGCAAAGGGGAGAGTCATCCACAGAACAGGCTGAGAGCTCACATCTAATCCAGCCAATTGCTCTGAGCTAAGCTACAGCTGTACTAACTTTGGAGGGCAGAGTCCACTAAAACAGAAATTAATGTTGCAGTCAAATCAGTTTGATCAGTAATCAGAGGCTCCTTCCAACAATATTCACTGCATTGTACTGGTGAAACATCACAACTCTCATCACAATTATTTTACATACATACCAAGAACTCCAGAGCTTTCTGTTTCCGAACAGGATCGTTCTGTGGGATTGTAGAATAGGGAAAAAAAATTTAGAAGACTGAATTTTACAGCAGTTGTTGCATCATCTTGTACAGAACAAGACATTTTAATCTTTTATCCAACAACAAAAGTCAACACAAAAAAAAGATACAATTTTAGGTCAGAGCCATAAACATGTAACCTTAGATCTTCAGTATCAGCTTGGTAGCAGCTACACAAACACAACTGCTTTACTTCCAATACCAGGAAGAACACATTTCACATCTAAGCCACACACCTACAGGAGCTATCTTTCCCAGCCTTTCCTCACTCAGGAGCAAAATCATGTTAAAAAAGTCAAGTGCTCAGCTGCATTTAACATAGTACCTGACCAGCCTGAGGCCCCACAACCAACTCTGCCACTAAGATAAAAACAATGCACTTCTCAGTGTTTGTCTCCAGAGCTAATCAGGGCAGATACTTTAGTGATCATTTTGAATTTCACCTTTGAGTTAGACAAAAGGATTGTAAATCTTTAGATATATCTTAACATTTAAACCAAACTTTCAGTATAGAATAGTCTTGATCTGAAGAGGGATGAAACAGGGAATTGGAGACTGCAGCACAGGCCAGGAGACCTGGCCTGTAGATGCTGGCTCTGAGACTCTCAGTGGCTCTGAACAGGATTCATGAAAGCTAAGGTGAATGTTCTGCATTCTCTTCCCCTCTGCTGTGATGAACACAAAACTTACTCATTAGATCAATTGCTTCTGCAACAATATTAATAAAATACTAAATGAAGCCAAAGAATAAGCATTTTCCAGAAAAAAATAGAAACAAGCATAAAGAAACTGGTACAAAATGAGACACTTGTGAGTATGCGACCACTTGTGTGGAGTTCTTGCCTCTACATACCTCATGCTTATCTTCCCACCTTAAAAGAAAAAAAATTACAGCATTAAGATGCATTCTAAAGATTACTAAAACATTAAGTTTACTCAAAATATTTCAGTTTCCAAATTTTTATCACTTACCAATACTACATATCTTTCCCTAAGAAATAACAGTGTTTTTAATATGCTGTAAAAGTCCTTCTTCTGACTGACTCTCAAAGAGATCAGTAGTGCAGATGAACGTCTTTACAAATCAGCTAAAGGACATGACTGAAATAATGGTGAGCTGGGTTTTTTCTTCCTATATAAACAGCTTTTTATAAAACTTACTCAGCCAATGATATCCCACATAGAATGGAAGCAGCTTGAAATTTCAATTGGAATTACTTTTTGAGTACAGTACTTCAAAAGCCATAGCTGCTACTTCCTCACAGACAAAAAGGAACAATTTACAGAAGAGAAATAAGTACAGTGGAAAGACAATATAAAATATTTTCCCATGTCATGATGTTTGCTACAGAAAAATAGATTTAAAAAATCTCTTTTGATTCTCCTGTGCAGGTAGTACTCTCACCTTGTTTTCTTCTTCAATACAGCTAGAAAATGAGAAAAAGAATTATTAGCAACATCACAAGGTTTGCACTGTATTTCTGCAACAGAAGCGTTACACAAACAGAAGAGTTACTGGCTGTGGAGTGGCTGTGGTTTCTGTAAAGGGCAGGATTCAGCAGCAAATGGCACACACACCCATCTTAGAAACCAGCAGGCATCCTTGCTGAAAGGTCTGTGGGAGACCTGTGCCCTAAAGGCTTTGCAGGGTACTCTACAGCACCTGTGTTGAGGCAGCTGGACCCCATACAAGAAGGCTGTATGGAATAAACCGAGGTGGGTCTGTCTCCTCCATGAAAAAAGTTACAAGGCCTGCACGTGGGTTTTTCCTGAGTAAACACCAGTGAACCTAAAATCTGTACATACAACAGCAAAGTTTCCAACAAGAAGTTATAGGGGTTGCAATGTTTGATCATCTCATCTCTATCAGTGTATAACCATGAGGAGGGAGGAAGGAAAAGCTCAGCAAAACAAGGCAGTCTAAAACAGTAACTATGCTTCAGAGAACCAACTACTGCAGGGTACATAACTTGTCACTTCTTAAGCATTGTGTTCCAGGATAAGCAACAGGACATGGAATAATTCTCTGGACAATTGACATCTTTGGCCCTACACAACAAGGCCAGAAGACTTGTGTTGCCATGTTAACCAGTTCCCATTAGCACAGCTAACACGTGCTGATTAAGCTGTTGATGTTCGTTTCGTCACTTGCACGCTCGTACCTGTGTACTAGCAGCCTTTCTTAATTAAATCCCCAAACTCATCCTCACTGTCAGAAGAGAGTTTTGAAATCTGCCAACACGACCTAGTCTAAAGTTACTTACTGCTGCTAACCAGTAACCACAATTTTCTTCTAAATAACCAGAGGGGGGTTTTTTGGAATTCACTTGATGTCAACCTTATCAACTAACCAGAGCAAACCTTTATACTGAAAGGCTTTTGCAGGTAACTTCCCTCTCGCCCATTTTTTTCAGTTTCATATCCTGTAGGACTGGGTGGGATCACTCTTTTTGATGCTCCAGATTGATATTTGACTGTGTCTTCCACTTTTACAGAAGTCTGCTGACTTGACTGATGTCAGTTTACTCTGAACTGAGAATTACTCAGCTAATTATTGGGTCACACTCCCTCTTCTTCACAAGAGACACAAAGATCAAAGATTTTTGCCACCTTGTTTTGCAGACCAACACTCAAAAGTACAAGCCACAGAAGCCACCAATGACCAATAAAAAGGAGGAAAAATAAAAACCCCGCTGTGGTAGGCTCCTACCACAGCGGATTCACACTGACAAATTCTGTTGATCTAAGCAACCTCCACCCACTTTAATCAAACCCACCTTCCTTCTGATATTAACACTAGGGTCACAAGGTAGCAAGGAGGTATTCCTCCAGATTGGCATCATTAAGGATCTATAGCACACCTACAGTAACAAGAGATGTAACTCAGCCATACTGTATGAGGGAAGATGCTGAGTTTATGTTTGTGGGTTTGGTTTCCATCGTTTCCACTTTCACCAGGGATTCAGCATGTAAGTCTTCTGATGACAGAAATGAGGGGGAGGAGACTTATTCAGCTTATTCAGAGAAAGCCACCAAGTACCAAGTACTTTTCCATACTTTTTTACTTTCCTTGATGAGCAAAGTGCTGCAGTTATCATAAATACTTCCAGAACCAAGAAGTTAAAAAAATATAAGGAACACTGGAAGTCTGGCAATTTCCTTCTTTCATCACTTCAACATCACAAAAAACAGAAAAATCTCTGAAAACATTATTATAAGCTGAATGTTTTACATCAGTCAAGCCCTTTGTTCAACTAGTAAGTCAAATTAGGCCAAATATCAATTATATCAAATCTACTATATTCAAGAAATTCACAGACTTACATGAGGTAGCTGGTCTTGTGTAACCTTCCCTCTAAAAAATAGAAGAAGTTTCATATTAGACTTTCTGACTAAAATTTCATAACAACAGTCTCTACTGCAACTGCCATTAGGAAAGGAACAAGTACTTTTATTTATGCCAACATAATTAAATTGAATTAAATTCCTCACACACATAAACACTCCTGTAAATATAAATGAAATTTGAGAAAAAAATTGCTTACATTTGAGAAAATGTTACATTGCAAAAATTAAAAATTATTGACATTTAAGTAATAAAATTTCTGAATCACTCTATTCAGACTGAACAATTTTCAATTTAAAACATCTAAAACCTTAAAAATACTAATTGTCTTTATTCAGATTAATTTCAATACTACTGCTCTTTTCTCTGGATCTTTCAGGGCAACCTAAAGGTAAACCTTAGTTCAACTCACTACTAACTTCCTAGAAACACACAGAAAATTTAACAGGCTTCGCCAGCACTACTTTTAAAATTTACTCTTAAACATAAATGTTTACATAAAACATAAAACTGATAAAAGACACATTAACAGATACTTTACATTTATTTCAAATTACCTTATACATTTTTAATCCTTCACTCTTCTCTAGCTCTCCTGCTATACGTCTGAAAAACGAGACTTTGCATTCCTTTGCATCTGGTCTTCTCCTCATTTTATCTGGAAATTCTTTAGACTGTAAACAAAACCAGTTTGAAAAGGTTAATATTGAAATTTATCACAATATTAAAAAATTTACACATTTCACCTTCTGGACAAGTTTCCAAAATACTGGTAAACATTGATTTGAATATGATGAACTAATTTCTTCTCTGCAACATATGTAATTAAATTTTACAGTTACTAAAGTAGTCTTCAAAACAAAAAATGGATACCACGCAAAGCTTGCTGCCAGAAGGAAACACTCTCTGTACCAAATCCAGCAATGCTACGGACATGCTGGGAAATAAAAAAGAATCCCATTATTTTTGGAACCTGATCCTGCAAGCAATCTAAACTCTTAGGAACAGACTTGGGAGCTGAAACAGACAGGCAGCCCTGGACTGCACTGCCTCAAGAGCCCACAGCATCAGAGCTCTTCATGTTGAGAGAGTCAACTATACAAGTACTGGCAATTTATCACATGGGGGTTTAAACTTCAAACAATCTAATTATTTAGAAAAAAGAAAATAAAAGGGGAGTATCATAAAGAAATTTTGATCAAAATGCATCAAAATTACTCACAATGTATTCTCTTCTGTGTTTATATCCACTGAGATGCTCTATCATAGGTGCCACCTCTGAATTACACCCACACAGCCTGCACTCATAACGTGGCTCTCTTCTTCCTTCAAATCTGACTTCGACCACGTGTTCTAAACCTGTAAAAGCAAGAGTTACAAATATCTCTATTTTACTACAGACTACTGAAACAAATGTATTCTTTTCAATGCTGCTTACAAATTCAAAATTAATATATGAAATGACTCCATTTTCAGAATTACTCCATTTTCAGACACTCCTTCAGGATCACTTCAACACTTCTTTAGACTTATCACCCAATCAGCTAAATTTATCTCTTTCCAATATCTTATTCTGAAAGGAAATACACCATCTATGGCAGATTTCAAAGCCCACCAAAAATATTTCATGCATCTTCACTCCTGTCTGGGATAATTTTTTTAAGAAACTAAGAAAGAGAATGAGAATAGGAAATGCCCTACAAATGTCTAGATTTAAAAAATGCATTTAAAATACTTAGTCAAACATAATTTGGACCGTATCTGAGTAAAAGCAGATGTAGAAAAGACATTAATCACTTCACAAAACTGAATCTTTCATAATCTGAAAATGTTCCATAAACTTTTAAGAACCACAAGAATAAAAATGGAAATATTCTTCATTTTTCCTAGAAATTACTGAGACAATGCCTTTAAAGTATTCAGAAACCTTCAAGTTTGAGGCTTCTTACCTAGCATGAAAAGTTTTATTCTGAAAGCTTGAACATAATAAATTTAAAAGCAGTTTAAAACAAATAGGAAAACCCTGCAGCTGTTCCCTTATGTCATAATTTCCAGTACTCTGTATTCATGATGGGTTGATCCCAGCCAGCAGCCAAGAACCACATAGCTGCTTGCTCACTCACACCCACACCCCTCAGCAGGGTGGGGAGAACACAGGAAGAACAAAGGAAGAACAAAGCTCATGTTCTTAAAGACAGTTCAATAAGTTAAGGAAAGAGGGGTAAAAAAACCCCAAAACCAACCAACATGCAAAAACCCATCACTCACTTCCCCACAGGCAGACCAATACCCACCCACACTCTCTGAACAGCCACCTTGTAAGTTAAACCCTCCTTCCTCCCTTTTTTTCTTTCTTTACCTCAACTGTGATTACTGAGCATAACATTACGTGGTACAGAATAGCCTTTGTGCCAGTTTGGGTCAACTGCCCTGGATGTGCCACCTCCCACCCCCAGCTTATTCAAGGGGTGAGGGCCAGAACAACAAAACAGCCTTGATGCAGGTGCACTGCTCAGCAACAGGAAAAAACACTGGGGTGTCATCAAAACTGCTTCAGCCACAAATCCAAAACATACAGGCTGCTATGAAGAAACTCAACCCCATCTCAGACCTGATACAGTATTATACTGCTAAATCTTAACTCTGAAAGTAAATTATCACCAAATGAACTAGAAGTGCTCCTGCAACCGAAGTGTTTTCTATTACAAATGCTTATAGTAAAGTATTCATTTTAAAAAGCCTAGAAATTTATTAGGTGGAGTAACTACAAGACAATGCACTAAACAGAGAAATTTTCTGCTAATACTAGGAAATTTGCTACTTAGGCCTTCATCAGAGAACATATTTCTCTAGGCCACCATGACACACTTGGAACACTAAGGCCACTGACAAGCAGCCTTGCTACTCTCCTAAGGGTTTCTAACCTAGCAGTTAGAAAGAAAAAAATTAAAACTAATCACACTACTTCCAGTATAGCCAAGGACAGTGAAGAAAAGCATCTCACTAAGTACAAACATCCCACTGTATATCCCACCAAGTGGAAAGTCACAAAGAACCACAGCTGATGACAAGTCCAGCTGGAGGCCAGAAGGCAGCAGTGCACCCCAGGGGTCAGAACTGGGTCCAGTCCTGTTCAAAACCTTCATTAATGATTCAGATGATGCAGAGCATAACCTCAGCAGGGCTGATGATGACACACAACTGGGAGGGATGCAGATACACCAGAGGGTGATCTGGTTGTGATGCCATCCAGAGGGACTCTGAGTGGCTGGAGCTGGGCTGACAGGAAGCTCAGGCAGATCAACAAGGCGAAGTGCCAGCTTGCATCCAGCGAAGAACACCAGGGCATGCTGGGGGATGGCAAGCCAGGAGGAACATTGGCAGGAAAAGACCTAGTGGACACCAAGCTGAAGATGAGCTAGCAAAGGCTGACGGTATCCTGGGCTGCACAAGGAGGAGCGCTGACAGCAGGCTCAACTCAGCACCAGTAGGGCCATTCCTGGAGTGCTGTGTCAAGTTCTGGACTGCACAGTACAAGAGACATGGGCATAGAAGTGCCATGAAAATGACAATGGTACTAGAGCATCTCTGCTACGAGAAAAGGCTGAGAAACCTGGAACTGTTTATCCTGAAGAGGAGAAGGCTCAGAGGGGATCTCATCACTGTGTATAAATACTTGAGGTGAGGGTGCAAACAGGGAGCTGTTTTCAGTGCCAGGACAAGAGGCAATGGCACAACTGAACATCAGGAAACACATTCTGACCGTGCGGGTGACTGAGCACTGGAACAGATTTCCCTAAAAGCATGCAGTTTTTCACCTGGAGATTTTCAAAAGCCATGTAGACATGGTCCCAGACAACCTCCTCTGGGACATGAGCAAGGGTTAAGACAGACCCCTTCCAACCTCAACCATTCTGTGATCTGGAAAAAGCTTCTTTACGGAGATGGCTGCTTCAGGAACAAGTTAACAGTTAAGGAGGCCATTATAATACCCAGTGGAATAAACTAAATTTAAAATGGTAAGAGATAGGTAAGTTATTAAATACATTTACAGAAAATGAGACAATAACTAAAATCCCACCTTTTTTTTCAAAAGAAAGCCATTTAGTAACAAATTCAAAGACATGCAATTTATAAAACAAAAAACCATACCAATTAGAGGCTCTTCTCTTCTGGGATCATTCATAAAATCCTTCAGACAGGTTATGTACCCTGTGAATGATCTCTTCACTGAAGGAAAAAATACACATAAAGAGACATTACACATTATATAGTTTACACATAATATCTATAATCTTAAAGGAAGGAATCTTAATCCCATTTCTAATGGGACATTAATGGTGACAAAATTCATTTGCGCTCTGAAATGCTTTAGGAAAACAGGCAAGACCTCAGTCCCCCATATAAAATGTCCAACACTTTCTCTTCCATAACAATTTTATACACAAGGATTTAATGTCTCTAAGAAAAGAGCCAAATAAGCAAAACAAGACTTCTAACACAATTCAGTTTACTGAGGAAAGATTCCAAGTTCACATGCATAGCATGTCCTGGACTGCGTCAGTTCTCATGAAAAAAAAGAAAAGCCATCAACCTCCTCTTCCCCTCAAAAGCCTAACATTCATACAGCATTCTGGGCCTGCTTGTTTGGAGTCTGAAGTTCAAGAATTATACTGCCTTAAGGCTAACAAAGAACACAATCTTCACTAATACAGCAAATACCTTTTGAGCTCTGGGCAGCCCAAAGGTTGCACAGACACAGTCAGTATATTCCTGAGTCCGAACTAGCAGTGTTTCAATCAGGGCTCTATCTTGCTCCTCACTGAGTTTTAATAGCCTGGTTGTTGCTCTGCCTGAAACACTTCTACAGCATTCCTGCTCAGCTTAGAACACCAGCAGAGTTCAGCTAAATATACCCACAAAACAATCTCAATGAGACATTAAGTGTATTCAAATGTTGGACATTATAAAAGACCATGACTAAGTGTTAAAAAACATATTTTCCTTCCGCAAAAAGAAGTGCAGAACTAGAATTCATCTACCTAATTACATGACTAATGTACTACAAATAACTGACCAATGAACTACATAAGAGTAATTAACACTGCTAGTTTCTTCCAGTCAGAGCAAACAAGTAGAAATACCATAAGCATGGAACTGTTATTGTATTCTTTCCCACTAAGATGTCAGGTTATGGCTAAAAAAACCCCAACCACAACTTCACAAGAAGAGGGAATTCCACATTCATTCTTAAATATTCATGTCATTAGAAATACGCCTGCGTTGCTATCAAGTCAAACTCCAGAACTGAACACAAAGAAAAACTCTACTAAGTTGCACCATTTAGATGAAAAACCTATTGCAATTTAACAGTGCTACAAAATACCTCGTGGGACACCTCCTGCCACAGCAACAATATGGCCCACTTTGATCAAAATTTCACAGTATTCTGAAAATCTTTCTATGTTTTGGTTGGGTTTTTTTTCACCTGAGGTGACATGCAGCACTAGCATGTGACAGTCAACGTGTAACAAGCTGGTGCCACGCAATTCATCTCCATAGACAGACTTTCATCAGCACTTAAATGCATGCATTTGTGTGCCTGTGCAGCAGCTCAGCGTGAGCTGGTTATTCCCAAGCTGACAGACAAAGGCACATGATCTTTTTGACTTCATATGGAAAGATGCATGCAGAAAAAAGTTACAGGTCTGGTCAAGGTAAGGCCATTTCCTTCTTGTTTCCTAACACACAACCAAATACTTTTGTCTTATCTAAATAGCAAGCAACCCATGCTGTTCTTGGTTTCACTGTACTCTGAGCACGCTGCAAGTTTTTTTATTGAAAACTTCACCAACTAAAAAAATACTAGCTAGATTCACTGTGATATTGTCAGATATTCATGAAGACAGAAACTATATCTCAAGTTTGAAAGTCTTTCTGTAAAAATACTTGTAACTTCATATTCTCCTAAGACCTCTTTTGACATAAATTAACCAGTGCACAGAAGAAAAGCAATGGTCCAAATGTCTGGCAGCTTGCACTGCTTATTTCCAGAACATAACCAGAACACCTGCTTTAGTCACCATTGAAATAAAAACACTGATTTCAAATCTGAAAAAGGCATCATTTATATTCAGCTACCTCGTCTGAGCACTCGGTACTTCATCGGAACTTGGATTAGAGCTGAAGAACCTAGGATAAAAGTTTGACAGTCAGATTACTTCTTCTCATTTGATTTTAATAAATACTTAGTAGATCATTGACACATTACAGAATTGAACAATTATCTTCATTTTGCAGTTTAATATAGGCTCAGTATTCCATCCTCATAGTTTTCTTTTTTAACTTCATTGCTCTAAGTCTCCCATTCCACTCCCCTTCTCCACCAACACAAAATACCAAACACACAAATGGCACAGAAACTAGCATATTCAATGCTTATTTAATTTTTAAGTGCTTTTCATATTGGATACTTATTTTAATTATTTTAACTATTCAGTATCATGCTCAACAATCAATCTGTGTTCCAGGTCTAAATAAAACCTTCTGGTCTAAATATTCAGAGCCTAAACACAGTCCCAGACACAATATCATCATTAAACTACATCCTCTTTTACATAGGGATCTGTATCTATTCCTAACCACTCAGAGCTTCAAAGTCAATGTTAAGGTGTGCACTTACACTCCTGCTGGAATTTCTCACTTGCCCCTCTCTCCCTCAAATCCAGAGACATCCATAAACCACTGTGCTTTAATGACATTGCCAATGTTTTGTAAGTCACAACAAACAATCAAGATTAAAATAAGGTGATACATTAATACTCATTTGATGGAAGAAGTGAGTTACATTATTAATTATTTGCACACATAACTCCTAATTTTGAAGTAAAAAACTTTTCTATAGTCATGGCAAATACAACATGTTGCATTCATACTTTTTTTCCTCTTTCTGCATAAGACAGGGAATTAGGAGATAGTATCAAAGCTGTAAATCAAATAAAATCAAGGTTACAAACATTTTGCAAACATCCAGTATTAACATAAGGGAAGGGGTATGGGAAAGCATATCTCCCTTGACTCCTTAAAATAAATTATGCATATTTTTCAGTTAAAAGCTTCAGAGTATCTGGTAGCAAGAAGATCCCCAGGCATTTTGCAAGTACAACAATTACTTAATGTCAGAATTGTTCAGTTAGTGTCTGAAGCTCAAGTCAAGATTCCGGGTCCAGCATGTGCAGACAACATGGCCAAATCAAATGCTATATGATACAAACAGGCTTATGAGAAAAAGTGCTTTATTTAGTTTACTTCCAGGAACAAAGTGAATTTACAGAGAATTGCACTAGAAGCAGTTCTCAGCACATTCTGCCTTAACATCATTAGTTTATAAATATGGTCAAACTATAAATCAAGTTGTAGCTGCTGCTATCACCAAAAGCAGCAGATTGGAGGACTGATTTTTTTTTTTTTTTAATTACAAAAAAAGAAAAAGCATTAAGTGAAGATCATTGCTGCCCACAGATGTTTAACAAAGCAGTTTTGATCTTGAAGACTCTCCCATTCAGCAACAGCAGTTTTCCAGGCTAACATTCAATTCACACTTACTAGCCACATGGCTGTGTAATGTTAGCAATAATATATTTCTTAAGCATCTCAAAATCAAACCAAAATAGTACTTTCTCTAAAGCATACCAGACTGATCAATGAGCTGAAAATCAGCTGGTTGCCAGGCTCAAAGGGAAACAATCAACAAAGCAGCCTCCTGGCATCCAGTAAGCAGCAGAATCCCCCAAAGAGCAAATTCCAGGGCCCACAACGCCCAGGGATGCATCCCCAACCAGGTTATTGATGCTGGCATTCATAAAACACCATCAGAAAATTCACAGGCAACAGTAATTTAGGGGATACAAGTGATGCCACAGCTTCAGCTGAGCAGGACCTTGGGAACACTGAGATACTGCACTGGCAGCTCACTGAAGAATATCTTATGCCCCATTATCTGGGACTTGCAAGGATGACTACTGTCACCCCTGTTCATTTCAAGGGGGATGTAGAGAGAGCAGAGGGGGCTCAGCAAAATGGCTACCACAACAAACAATCCAGGGCAAATAACTTATGAGAACAGGTTTGGGAGCTGGATTCTTTTGACTGGTGGAGACTTAAGAGGAGACACAATAGCATGGATACCTGAACAGCAGCTACAAAATGCGAGCCCTCTGGGAACACGACAAAAGCGTTAAAAAGTACCAGCCAGGAATAGTGGCTTCAGGCGCAAAGATTAGATATTAGGATAAAATTCCTCTTTGAACAGAGGAGCAACTGCAGACTGATTAACACAGGTAGAAGACTCTCTGCCTGTGAAGATGTTCAAGGATTCAGCAAGTAAGCGATGATCCAGCACTGGCTGTAGTCTTGCTTCAATCAGGAAGTTAGGAAATCACCTGATCAGTCTCAGGAAATCTCTTACACATGATTATTTTATTTAGTAAGCATTATTTTCCAAATACTAGCTATGCACATGAACAAACAAAAAAACCCAACAAAAACAACTCCCCCAAAAACCCTTTCCATTCAATATTCAATTACAGACTGCTGAACATATAAAAGGTGGAGAACAAAGAAACATCTTTTTATGTATTTGTAATGCACACACATTCCTAATGACTGCCAGAAATGTGAAAGCCATGTTTCAAAACAAAAGGGCAGTTTCAGACGCTGTCAATTCAGCAACTTAGCAGCAACAAGGATGTCCCGAGCTCAGCACCAGATCCCCTTTTGAGAACAAAGGGGAAGGGCACAAAGACGCCAGATTCCACCATGTCGAGAAACTCCCCAAGAGAAAAGCAGTAAGGGTGTTGAAATAGTGTTCCACCTTACATTTCTATTATTATGGCTTCTGAAACATTTTCTCTTCTAATCTGTAAGTTAGAATAGAACTTCCAGGCTTTTCCTTTGAAGACTCAGCAGTAGATATACGTCCAAAAAACACATCCTTATCCATGTTTAACAGACACTGAGCATGGAGGAACACGTTAAAACATATTGATTTCTTAACATATTAAGCTGAAATGCTGATCAGGATACTGATAAGTTTATCATTAGTGAACACAAGGCAGAATCCACCACATTTGTGCCTTCACTGGAGGAAGAACTTGTCTTCAGTGCTGTTTAGTAACTGCAGCTTATCTTCAGACCGGATTCCTCTCCTCGACTCCATGTTTTACAGAACAACCATAATGAAGCTTTCTTTACTCATGGTGCAATTTACAGGTCTAAAGTTGAAGGGTCTAGAATGCAGAGTAGTAGATCCAGCAGCTAAAAACATCCCTTATTACACTTTTCATTTGTATTGCTGTAAGAGCAGGACAAGCTGCCTCTACATCATACTGTAATGCAAGAAAATAATCCATAGGCTGTACAAAAAAAAAATCATTCATCTACTCCTCTGTGCCATATTCATTTCACTGATAAAGCCAGGCAGCCCATAAAGGATTTTAACAGGGCTCACACTCTGTGTTATGCCTCTTGCCTGAGCTAATAGTAGCAAACCACTGCACTTTGCTACTGCCCAGTAAATGTTTGCCTATGTGTATATTGCCCCATCATTTAGTGCCTCTTGCTCAAAGCAAAAAGCTTTCAAAATTTTTCTATTTTGGCCAATAGACCCCAAGGGGGGGAAAAAAAAAAGTTCATTCCCCTTCATTCCTTATCCCTGAACACATGGGCAACGGCTTAAAAAAGAGCTGAAAGAACTATTCCATCTGTCCAATTACATCGCTGTACAAAGGAATCACATGACTGAAATTCATGTACTCAGGGGTGCTTTGACTTAACACTCTTGGTGAAGTCTCAGAACTTCAGCATCTTCTATTTCCACACCTTCCATTATGTTGCTTTCCTCTGAACTGCTGAAGAGGGGAAAAAAAAACCCAAGCCAAAACAACCCAAGATGTCCAATTCTGTCATTACCATAAAAATAGCTTGTGGATTGTTTTTTCATATGGAAGCTCACATGGTAATGTGATGAAGAAAGTCACCTTTCTTACAGGAAGTGGAACTCCTCCAAAAACAAACATCTGGAATCAGATGCATTCCCTCACTTAATTGACTTGGAGTCAACATGGTTGTACAGTCACAGGTTACATACACTCACCACTTCTGGATTATCAAGTAACTTCTGGTGGGTTCAGAAAGGATACATGGCATATCCCATTTGGAAACACTCAGAACCCAAATACTTTTAAATTTTGGTTTACAAATGGCAGGTGTTTGATTTAAAAGGGAGGTGTTTTCCCTACTGACAAAAGAACGTTTTTTAATTCTGCAGCAAGGAGGAAAATGCAGATATTGGTGTAAAACATTCTAAATATGTCACGCCTCATCCTCTGAAGCACCTTTTCCTTTTTAGACAGTGTACATTTCACATACTTGTCAGGTATCATCCTGAATTATTTCCAAGAAAACTCATCCTTCACTTTGACAACTTTTTTTTCCTGGCTCTTTGAACTCCAGCTCTGTGAACATGCTGTCACATTTCAATCTCACTGAAACATTTGATAGCATGAACATTAGAACAAGACTGCAGATCCAGCAACAATAACAAAAGCACCTCATTAATTTATATACTGAAATTAAATTAGATTCATACTTTACATAGTGCACCTAATTTTAAAAAATCCATACTTTCCATGCTCATTCACAAAACTTTACTACTAAATGTAATAATTTTTGTTCATGCTTACCTCACAGGTCTACAAACAGTTAAAAAAAAAAACAAAAAACAGCTACTTTAAATGAAAAAATAAAGACTAGACAAATTCATAATTATTCTTTTGTATCAGTGACAGAGCACAATGAATTTACTGGATCTGCTGGACCTTGAAGGAGAATTATTTATATAATTGGTAATATGTCCATGGGAGAGTTCAAGAAGTTCTACAAATATACTGACTACCTAATTCTGCATTGTAGTTCCCAACATCTCTGAAAAGTTACTTAGAAAAGCTTTTTTCTTAATTGTAAAAAAAACCTAAAGCAGCACAACTGAAACATACAAATAAATTTCATCAGACCAAATTTCAGCCTCTTTGGACAAATAAACCCTACCAATGGCTTGCAAATTGACCTTCCACATCTTGATCTTCAGTGAAGCAGAATGCGAATGCAATAGACAGAGTAGAATAAAGGAGACATCAATAGTATTAATAATAGTTTTTTATTAGATGTAAGTTTCTGATCACTTCAAAATTATTTCTGAGGCAGAGAACTTTCTGGATAAAAGCATATCTTGCAATGCTTCTGACATGTGGTACCCTGTGATGTTGAGACTCCTCCAGAAGTCACAGCTAACTTGCTTATCAAAGCTTCTAAATTCTTCATTTTATTAATTAGATATTTTTACTTCTTCTCCTGCAGTTGAAAGATCCCAAGTCATGACATTTCCAAAGAAACAGTACTTGTAGCATGCACACATTCTTAACCCAAGGATTAATTCTCAATTCTCCATGGAATACGGAGAGTGTAGTACATACAGCACTGTTATCTAAAGCCATAGGTCTTTGCAAGAGGCTCCTGCACTGCACCACTCTTTTCACAGTCCCGATGCCACAACTTCTGTCCCCTTATTCGAGTCACACTTTCTGCCACATGCATCCCATACATTATTCCTCCAAAACCAGATTTTATGATCTTGAAGAAAGAACCTCTTCACTTAATGAGTATTACTTTTAATGACAATTTCTGACAAAATTCAAAGAAATCTGTATTAAGTGTCTTCCACTAAAAGCCCTTGACCAGAGCCACACAAATCTGTTCTTGTTGCTGAGGTGTAAATACAATTTTGTAGTGCTTGAAAAGAATTGGACTTTGAGAAGACTTTGAAGTATTCACAACTCCTCAAATTCTGTCAGTGAGCTTCGTTACCATACAGCAGTCACGGGTGCCGAGGCAAAATCTCGTAACTGTTCTCACACTTGAGCAACATGTCTTGCACTAAACAAAACCCTGAGAGCAGCTAATGAAGCTCAGTCTCTTAGGAAAGAGCCTCTGACCAGCATTTTCCCAGATCTTTCTTGTGTGTTGATTCTTCAGGGTCCAGTAAGTAGTGAGCTCAGCCTGCAGCACTTCCCTCCGTACAGGACTGACACCGTCACTCTTCCCTGTGCAGATGTGCATCTTCAGGCACCTCTGATCAGCTTGGTTCAAAAAGGCTGAGAGGTTCAAAAGACACTGGGGAACAGATGATAAAGGTGGAATGTAAGCCTTGTTTCTTGAGAGAATAGGCTAAGTAGAAGGCTTGTCTCTTGTATGACTGACTATAACCACTTTGGTTTTTAACAGTATCATTGATTTTTATCAGTATTCCCACATCTGCTTACACCTCTGCTTCCTGTATGTCCTCATAAGTAGCTTTACAACAAGATTTTCATTTCCACTGTGAGCTACATATACACATTTCCAACCTTTCACCACAACTCTTACTTTCATTGACATATGATGGTCTGGATTTACATTCTCAGTTTCTGGGGGAAAAGACACCCCAACAACTGAATTCACCTTGAATACATCTTTGCTCCTCCAAGTCCACTACAATAAAGAGAGGCAGAACATTCCTGTGATGCAGCCAAGCAGCTTCAGCACTGGTAGAGCTGCATCTGACACAGTGCTGTGTTAGCCTGCTGATTTAGCTTCTTAGCATTCTGCCTGAAGCTCAGCAGTGAGTGCATCAAGCTGACAGACAAGTGGGAGACAGTTAAGCTTGAGAATGTGAGAAAGTAAAACACTGACTATACATCCCTCCACTGGACAGATATATAAATATTTATATGTGAAAAGCCATAAGTAAGGTTTCATACTCTAAACCAATTCTTTGCTCAGCAGTTCACTAGACAAATCTCAGAAGAATGTTCAGCATATAAAGAGAAACACAGTTAGAGACATATGAATCAGTAAATGCAAATACCTGAATTATAGGAAAGGCAACAAAACAGTAAATCCCCAAGCAATATCTATCCTAGGAGGCTGGAAGAAAAAAGTATTATACTTACTATAGACAGTCCTGCGTCTCAGGGCTTTCTCTTGCTTTAATTATGAAGATGCAAGTCATCCCAAAATAGAATAAGAGAAATAAATTAATGTGCTGCATCATTCGAAGGAAAAATCCAGCACTTCCAGAGAAGCCTTTGCAGATTAATTGCATTACAGGCCAAATTTTCCATTGTCAAACAAGAAAAATTAGAGCCTTTATGATTGTCTGCAAAAGCTGGAAGTACTGACAAAACTGTACTCACAGTTAACACAAGGTTACTTTCAAGAAAGCCCTGTTATTTAGTGAAGTTTTAAGGGATGATTATGGCTTGAAACACATCTGAGGGATGCCAGGAAAACCTAAAGTATGATTACAGCTCATAAGTTCTCAGAAAGTGTAGTTCCAACCACAACAACAACCACATTAAAAAAAAAAAAATAATAAAATCTTACCCCAAAAGGAAAAACTAACTAAAAGCAGCTCCCCCACCATTTTGAGTGGATTTGGTTAAACCTTAAGGCTAGCCAAATCTCAGGAAAGATCATTCATATCATGAAGAAGAGGAAAAGTATCTTTCACTGGCTGAATCCAGAACAGATGATTTTGGCAAAATCTAAAGAAAAGAGGAACTTAAATTTCCAGTTAATAGCTAAAGCAATCCTGACTCATTTTGACAATTTTCTGGCAAGTAAACACAAACTTGTCATTTACGAGAATGGAACAATAAGTGTGATCATTCTACCACTACAGCAGCTGTCTGTCCAGAGCAGTCCATGGAGTTAAGAGCTGTATTTTCAATATTCAGTGCCATGGAAGAGATGCTGGACATGGGTGTGGCAATTCAACAGGAAGCAAGACTGATACAATAGTTAATTGTCTGAGAAGCTGAGTAGCTGTAATTTTGTGGCATTTATAAAATAAGGAAGTTACCTAAGTCCTGGTATTGCCACAGGCAGAGGATGGTTTTGTATAAATTCAGCAGGATTTCATAAGTTTAGAAATACAGACACAGTGTTCCTCACAGTGATGCTGTTCCAAGTGCTTTTTTTACTCATTCTCCAGTTTTACAACAAACAGCTGCTAATATCAAGTTTTTCAGACAAGCACAGAAAACATTAGCAACTGTGAGCTGCTGCTCAAAGAGAATTTCCTCCTGACTATTTTCAGACAATCACCTTTGACTGCACCTGGTTTATTGCTTTTGTTAATATCAGAAATGCAGTTTCACAACTGAAGCTAAAGGGTCCATTTAACTTATGGTCCCTGCTACTAGATCAGGAATTAAGATTCTCACACATTAGGTAAGAAACTTATTCTCTGTTCTGGTTCAGGGATTTCAACAGCTGTTTTTGAGCTAAGGCTGTGAAAAGTTAGAGTAACTTTTGGCAAAGTATCTAACTTTGAGAAGCCAAAACTCAAAAACTACTGGTTTTAAGGGTTCAGACCTTCCATGCACAGAGTAATCTGTACGAGCTACTGCATAAAGTAGTTGAAGTTCATATCTTATTTAACAGAACAGTTTCAAGTACATAGTTAAGTATTACAAGAATATAACTTATTTTTCCTTAAACATATACAATCTTGAAATATATCAGTTAGATACATTTCTAACTGATACATTAGATATATTAACTAATTTTCATGCATACAAGAATATGCATGGAAATTCTACTTATTTTAATTCTTCAAGCTCATAAAAAGCAAATCAAGTTTTGGGGTTTTGTTTGTCTTCTGTTTGGTTTTTCCCCTCAAAAGGAAATCTCCACAATTAAAGTTTCTCTGGATCATGAAGATATGCTGCAGAACACAACAGCATGTTTTCTGGGACCAAACATAAACAATGCAACAGCAAGGTAAATTTCCTGAAACTAGCTGTGTTAGCATTCCTAATAGCAACACAAATATGTATGACCGAAATGTTTAAACAGCAATGGTTGATTTTACTACCACAAAAAGGACAGAAAAGTTGCCTGCACATCAGATATTTCAACCACAGGTTGAAATTGCACAGCAATCAAAGGTAAGAGGTAGAAGAAATGAGAACACTGAAATGGTGAAGACAAAGGCTAACAGCTCTCTTCACAGATTTTAACATTCCTTGTTTCTAAAGAGCCTATAGAGTCTTGAATACAGATTTTGCTCCTTTTGGGACCTGGCAGGCATTTCTACCTAGCTAACTCCAGACCTGAAAGGAGAGCAATGAAACTTGAATCTCTGATAGAACCAGAACAATCTTCATCTGTGTTCCAAAAAACAGACAATGCTCTTCTGCTGATGCCATACCTGCAAAGGACTGATCAAAACACATTGAAAAAAAGATGCCCCACTCTAGGATTTTCCTAGCAAACTGAGCTATAAAACTAATGCATACTTACAAAACCAGAATAAATTGTATCACACACCACCATATTCCAGGTATATACACCGCAGGTGTATTTTATTTGGGGACCGTTGTCCCAAAAAACCTAGATTATTCCTCAGCTGTGGAAAAAAAAACAAAAAGGCCAAACAAACCCATTTTTCATGCACAATATCCCCCACTACTCTCACAGGTTTGTTTAATTAAAAACATTAGTAAACTTATATAAATGTTGTTTCCTAAACGTTTTGCTATAACGGCTAAAACTAAAATTCAACTGTTTTTCAAAGAACCCAATACCAGCCAAGTTCAATTTTCAGAGCCATGACTTACACACACATCTGTGAATATCTTGGCTAATTCACTTTCTACACCTCACCATCCCACTAATACCTATTGTGCAATGAAGCCACAAAACCCCATCACTATGCTATTATGCTGCTATACAGAGGTGGCACAGCACTCAATGCACAAGATACACACAGCCTTGTACTGTGATCATCCCAGCCACACAATCCTTTGGCCATCAGCACCTCTTTGACAAGGGTACGGCCTTATGAATTAACAGCACTAGAAAAAATAAAGAGATAAAACAAAGGTATGCAGAAATAACCTAAACAGATATCTTATGTACCTATTCAAAATCCAGAATAACCAAACTACCCAGGTGGAAAAAAACAAAAAAAAAAAAAAAAAAAAAGAGAGATAAGATAGCCATGTACACTGAAGGTCAAGTGAAGTATTCCCACAAATCTGTCAGACAGTATTCAAAATAACACATTTTACTTTCAACAGCTATAGGAAACACAGGCAAATTTCAGATATGTACCACGTGTTTACATTTTTTCTTAATGACTGTCCTTCTGCTGAAAGGCTTTTTCTTGCATTTTGGAACACTTTCCAGCAGCAGACAAGCAGAGTATCTTTAACAAAGTAATTTTAAAAACAAATGTGCAACTGATATAAAAAAGGCAATCTGACTGAAGTAATAAAAAATGGCTAATGGATTGGTCAGGCTAGTACTGTGGTTCAGGAAAAGAACTACTACCTTCTCTTCATTTTGTTGTGTTGTCAGGACATCCTTTGGTATTTTGAACAAAAACTCCTCCAATAGGAACAAACTAAAGCTATTCACTACCTACACCCACCCTGCATTAAAAAGAAACATAGGCTCAGGACTTTTATAGTTATTCCAAACCTAGTGGTACAAAACCCTGAAATCAACCTATGAGTTCTCATCTTTTCCTACCAAAGCGCACAATAGACTTCGTAATTTAAAGAAAGAAATTGGAGTTAACTGAAAAGAATGATGATGTGAGCTTGGAGAGTTACTCCTACAGCAATGCAGCTGTGTGACTGACCACTACTCCACACCCAACAAAAACCCAGTTTTCAACCTGTCCTACTCTTATGTCAGCAAGGTCTTTGAGCTGAGAGAGAACAAGAAACTGGGAGACTTAGCCCAGCATACCTCCAAGCGTGAAACAGAAGGAAAACTACATGCAGATTTTCTAAGAAAATAAATGCTGGGTTTCCTACTTTTGAAGGGAAAACCAGCAATAATTAGATTGCTAAGAAGGTTAGCTAAGGAAAAAAAAAACCCAAAAAAAACCCCAACCACAAAAGCACAGGAATTCTTTGCATCAGCAGGAACATTTGGTAGGACACGAAAAATAAAACTGCACATTTTTACTAAATCAATGGGGAACAAGAAGGCTCAATCCTGTGGAGAAAAAAAAGGGGCTGGAGAAAGTAGAGCCACTGACTCAAATAAGAATCAATGCTATTAAAGTGATCAGCAAACAGGTAACAGAACACTATTAATCTGTCTCAACAGCAAAGAGATGGGGAGATGCTCCTCATTCCCAAAAAAAAAGAAGAGAGCACACCATCACTTGAGAAAAGCAGTTTTGCTGTTAGTTGCTAACATTCCAGGAAGAATAAAGTGTCATTACATTAAGAAAACATCAGAGCAGGCTCTTCAGTGCCACAACACAATGTGATGGCAGCAAAGGAGTACAGACAACTGAGTTATGCCTCACTTTTACAGACTGAGAATGTGGTGGAATTTTAATCATCAGCCAATCAACAGCCAAAGGTTCGGTCACTCAGCATTTGTAAAAGCCTTGTCTCTAAATACACCCTCACAGAACGATGCCTAATTATTTAATGCCTTTGATTGTTTGGTGCTTAAACCAGGGAGCTGTTATTATGATGCTTCAAAGCAACACAAGTGTCAGACTTGATAGTTACACCTATGTAACTCCTTCAGGAAAACAGAACTGGTGTTACTATCAAAGTAAAGAGTAAGCTCATTTTATTCAAAGTACAGGTGAGTTATGTAGACTTAGAAGACAGAACAGTACTGTCACCAACTACATCCAAAATCAAAGCTGAATTCTTTCACCACTTGCGGCTCTCATGTCATTCAAATATTAATTTCACAATTAGCACACATTTACCTTTAGGTAAGGCTGATGTTTCAAGTTACATGCTGTACAAAGCAGAGTTGTGAGATTCCCGCCTCATTTTTTTCTTGGAATATTTCAAGCAAGTTACTGTTACAAATCCAATAAATTAGATAAGCACTTGAAGCCGTGTGAAATCAAGTACTGAACTCACAAGAATCCTGGATTTATGATTAAATCTGCATATACATTTAATATGGAAAAAGTTTACCTTCCTATGCTTTGCACCACGGTAGTGTGACTGAAGACTTATAGCGCACATACAGTAAATTTTACAAACCTGAAAGAGAAAAATTGAAAGCACACATTCAGTTATGCTACGAATATTCTGCCATTAGTGAATTATAAATATGAAATACATCCCTTCCTACAGTGTAATCCTCTAATTACCAAGGTCTTCTTTGGCTCAAACAGTAGAGAGTACAGTTTGCATGAATTTTAGGAGAGCAGCTTACCACTAAAATAGTATGCAAACCTGTTCAAACAATACCTAAATACATGTTTAAATAAATAAATCAGGTGGTAAGAAGTTTTGACGAGCCTCCCCCTTCTCTGCCACCAGCATTTTCTGAATTCTTAGTTTTCTAAAGTCCTCCAAGCTGGAAAGCCAACAAAAAGAGGATGGTCGTGCAGTGACTAGAAAGGAACAGAGGCAAAATTACGCCCTAGAATAACTGCAGCTCCGTTCATTGTTCATTCACAGCTACGTTAAAGGGATCCGAAAAACCATGGAGGAAGACACACGCATTTAATTAAGATCCACAGACACGCATATACCATTGCAATAATTAACGGAAGACAACACAGACGTACAAATATTTCTTACTATCTTTAGCTTTTAAAAAAGCAACGACCGATGCGTGCTAGCATTGTCTGTTTCCTTTACGTACTGCCGCAGAACTTGAAGGAGCCAGAAAAAACACGCAGCGCTACAAAAGCACTACAGCACTGGCGAGCTGAACGCGTTCTGAGCCGCAGCTGCAGCTTTTAGCGATGAAGGAGCCTTTGCGGCCGCCTAGCAAACACTGGAAAGGCTGCAAGCGAGAACCTTTCGGCGCACCCGCGGCTGCTGCAGACCGACCTGAATTCCCCGAATCCTGCTCTTCCAGGGAGCGGCCGCGTTACTCACAGCCCCTCTGGCTCCCAGCTCTGCCCCCGCGCCCGCCGCGGCTCCCCACGGCCGGGAGCGGGCTCCCAGTGCCCGCGCACCTTCCGAGCCTGCCCGGGCTGAAACCCCACCAAGGACGCCACTCACATCGCAGTAAAAGAGGTTTTTCTCGGGCTCCGCTTTGCCGTCTTCTGCCTGAACTTCCTCAGGCACGGCGCTCATCCTTGCACGGCCGGGGGGGAAAATTTAAAAAAAAAAACAAAAACAATTCTTGCTCACACGGTGTTTAACAGCGACCAGGTGGTGGCGGGGGCCACGCCTCGGGCGGCCAAGCTGGGTTATTATTTGGTGATTTAAGCGCTATTGTTTTATTCCGCGGATCAATGCAAATCTCCCACCCCCGGCGCTGCCCCGAAGCATCCGGGAGCTCGCGCCCACCCCGCCCCCCACAGCGCTCGTCACTTCCGTCAGTGCCACAGCCACGCCCCCAGGCCGGCGGCCATTGCCGGGCAGCCCCTCGACTGGGCCAATGGGAAGCCAGCGTCGCGACGCGCGCCCGGCAGCTGGCCACGCCCCCAAGCTCAGGCCACGCCCCCTTCCCCGGCCTGGCGCCTCCTGGCGCAAGGGAGGAAGCGGGAGCGGCCGGGAGAGAGGGAGGCTGGGAACGGGCCGGGGTGGATGTGGGAACGGGCCGGGAGGGAGGCTGGGAACGGGCCGGGATGGATGTGGGAACGGGCCGGGGTGGATGGTGGGCCGGTCCGGGGGAACCCCGGGAGCAGTTCCCGAGAGGATGCTGGGACCAGTTCAGGGGAAAACTGGGCCCTGTTGAGGCCAAGAGGATACTGGGACCGGTTCAGACCGGGGTGGGTGCCTGGACCTGTTTAGGATGGATACTGGGACCAGTTCAGGCTGGGGGTGGGTACTGGTGCCAATCCAGGGCAAACACCGGTGGGCAGACCCTGGGACAAGTTCAGAGGGGATGCTGGAACCAGTCGAGCCCAGGGAGTGCTGGGGGTTCCTGGGCCCCTGTGGGGAAGGGGCAAGAAACAGCAGCAGCAGCTTTAATTTAAATGCAAACATTTTATTTTAAAATGTCTCGGCTTTACGCTTCTGCCTGGTAATAAATGTAAAATATAATTTAAGAAGTACGCTTAAAAGTTCTTTCTAAAAGCAGGCTGAGGAGACAGTACAAAACACAACAGAAAAGTGCACCGGGTTCAAACAACATGCCAGAACGTCAGATCCACAGGTCACTGCCTGCTTAGAATCAGCCCCAATTCCTTTTACGGGTATATTAGTGATATACCATGGCACCCAGCATACTCCTGTGCACAAAGCAGCACAGCCAGTGGTGCTGCTTGGGTTACACACTAGCAGAGGGGATCCCACAGGATTCCCTGGGTTTGGCTTCCCGGGGCTGGAGCTGTACCTGTCTGCTGCTTCATCTCCCCAGATGGGCAGCTGTTCATGCCTCTGTACACGTCCCAGTGCAGGCATTACCTGCATCGTGTGGTACATTTTCAAATGGTGCTGGGGTGGTTTGAGTGTTCTCTCCTAAAATACACCCTCCCCAGAAAAGTTTTGCGGAATTATGGAGTGCCAGACAGGCCAAAACTGTTTGTAGAACTCCATGCAACTGTTTGTTAATCATAGAACCATAGAATGGTTTGGGTTGGAAGAGATCTTAAAGATTATCCAGTTCCAATCCCCCTGCCATGGGCAGGGACGCCTTCCACTAGACCAGATGCTCAGAATTAGTCTTGTCCTCCACTTCAGGAGAAGCAGGAATGGCACTTTTAATAGTGGACTGTAAGTGGAGTGTAATGGCAGATTATACCCCTTTGGTGATGATGTTTTTGGTACCTGGACGTTTCTGAAACAGTCAGTTTTTTACATGGAGTCACATTAAAATGCTTGATCATTATTTGTGGTTCTGATCTCAAAATCTAAAATGGACTAATTGAAACACCGTACATGTTATGTAACGCTTCCATACCCTTCTTAATTAAAAAGTTTAAAATTGCAAATTAAAAGTGCAGTTGCACAGTGAAAGAATAAACACATGTAGGAAAAAAATAAAAGAAGCAAAAAAGGAGAAAATTAATTTCTTGATTTTTTGAAGGAGAGACCATATCTAAGGAAAAAAGGATTTGGCCTTACGTATACATTTTGCAGCACCAAACTGTTGGTGGCAGCTGGGGGTTTCCTGGCAGTACAGACTCCTGAAGAGAGGATGTTTCACCAGCAGAGTGACCTTCTTTTCTGGTTTTGGGGATACAGCTGTTATTAATAAGTACCTCCATTTATTAAAGAGCAGGGAGAAATGAAGGATTGCACTTCTGCCTAACACTGTTCTTTTGGCAAAACTTTTGAAATATGCCTAAAGTGGGAATAAAGCTACAGATACAGAAAACAGAAAGGACAGACACCAAAATGTACCATCCTGTGCAATCAGAAAGGTGGAAAAGGAGAGGAGGAAAAGGGAATTGCCTATAAGGAAGGAAGTGTTCTTTGGTTTTGTTAAGAAGGAATTCAGGGAGGAGAGGGTGTGAGGAAGAACCCTTTCAGAAGAGGGAATTTTGTTGACCGTGCAGAGGAAGAATCTTCTTAGCTATAGTGAGAGTAGAAACAAAACTGAATACTGTTACTGAGAACTGAGATAACTTTTGCCTTTCTGAAGTTCTTTCTAGAAAGACAAAATTTAAAAAAATAAAAAACTACAACAGTTGATGCTTGCCTCTCCTTATTTCACATTTTAAATCAACACAGGGAGGATACACATGGTCCAAAACCCTAAAAAAAAAAGTGAAGGACAAAAAAGAGGTTTAGAAGGGAGAGCTCACACCCTCCTGTGGTGCAAAATTAGGAGCTCTAGACCAGAACTTCACCAGATTTTTTTAAATGCCTTTTGATTGCTAAAATATAATTAATAAGACTAGCCAAGCAGCTGATGATCTTTCTATTGCCTTCTGCCACATCTTTGTTTACCATAATTCTACCAGTACAAATATGAACCTGGAGCTGTCCCTTGAACTCTGTTGCATCAAGGAAATCTTAAAAAACTTAGGACTGCATAGTTAGAGCATCAACTGCACAATGCCCAGCAGCAAGAGAATTAATGCACACACTGAATTGGCCACAGTTTGGAAAACTAGCCCCAGGAAAGGAGCAGGAGCACTTAATGCCTCCTAGAATGATATTTTCAGTCTGGTTGAGAAATGCATCTTAGCATTGAAATAACTCAATCCTTGTTTTCAAGAAATTATTTTTAACCTGAAAAGTTACAGAATCAGTTCCACAGGGAAAAAAAAAAAAAAAAAAAAAAAAAAAAGGATGTGATTTCAGACTACAGAATTTTTCTGTGGATGAAGAATTAATGCTGTAGTCACAGAATAATTACACCTTGATGGCATTATATCTCTTCCCAAAATTTGTCATAAATTTTATTTTTCACTTTCCTTCCAAACTACCACTCAACATCTTTGCCTAAGCACAAGCAATGACTCAGATCTCCAGATGTTTGGATTGGTTTTTTTAAAAGGACTTTGTGTGTTTATGATGACTTTGTTCAGAGGCATTTCTGATAGCATGACAGGGAAATGTAGTGACAAGAACGTAACGACAAGAACACGCTGGATGTCCCTAAAACATGACAAAGATCTGTTTGTCAGGGTGGTAGTGCCTGTGAACATTAGCTACTGGGTGCAGCCCTTTGTATGAATCTCCTTCAGGTGGATAAAAGCTTTGTGACTGCCTCCTGAGCATGGCCACCTGCACAATCTCCTGCTCTCTACATGTTGCAGCACCTCTTTCAGTTGTGACCCACAAGTTCTCATAGGGCTTGGCTATTTAAAAGAAGACATTCCAAGGAAGGAAACTCCTGTTCTAGTGAGAAACTTTCTACAGTCTAGTTTAGATTTAGGATTTTTTTCTCAGTATGATAAGAAAAGTATTTCCATTTTGAATGTTTACACCCTAAAAGAGTAGAGAGAAAGAGAGAAAACGAGCAGATAGAGAAGGCAAGAAGAAATAGAACGTGTCTACACCCCTGTCATTCTGAGGCTGGTTTTCTTGGTTAGGTGACACTGAAATGAAAGAAAATAAGTATGTTAATTTTTTTACCACTACCTAAGGCAATATATGTATTTATACATAGGGGGAATGATGGCTTTTAACTATTTTAATTAAAGCCTGACACCTTGTTATGACAAAATAATGGGTTTCCTGAAATAACTATAGTGGGTGAGGCTGTCCTATTAAGTTCCAGTATGGCTTCAACAGAAAGAGTTAAGAAAAGCTACTAGGCAGCAGAAGCTGATTTTATCCTACAGAATATTCCTTGCCTCAGGCTCCTTGCCTCTTAAGTATTTTAAGCACTAGGAATTTCCAGAAGAATTGCACATGCCTATCTGAAAACCATATCAAAGGATCAGTGTCCAAAGCCTTACTGAACTGACTGATGCTCAAATATCAGACTACCCTGTACTATCCAGAGCAGACTCAGATGTAAGAACTTTAAGAATACATGACTGTTCCAATAAAGGGTGGATAAACCAGAGACTTAAACTTTGCATTAATACGTTACAATCAAAGAGTAGGAAGTTAGTCTTTCCTACAGTGAATTTAGGTAGAGTCCCTTAATCTTTCACTTCCCTTGTTAAATCTCTGAACCCAGGGTAACTGAAACAAGCTTACCACTCACACAGTGCTGCCCTCACTCAGAACTTTTGAAATTAAGCTTTACTTTGGTACCCAAAGACTTTAACATCAATGTAAATTATTTACAGCGTTACCTTCAGTGGAGGTCTGCCCCAATTTCAGTCACTATTTAAGTGCAGGAAAATCTACTCTTTTTGTTGTTCAAGCTTACCCCTAGCTTGAATCACGTTGTTTCTCAGTAAAAGTAGTAGCTTTCAATGGTGTTGGACTAGCATTTGTACAGTGCTCAGCAGCTGTACACTGGCAGCTGAAATCAGGTCACATTCTCAGTAAAGTCAAGACCTCCATCAGCAGCTTTAGCACTGATAATAGTCTCTGCTCCATGTGGACCAAGTAACATCCCAGGGGGTGACACCTTCTCACAGCTTTTAGAACTGCTCACCTTCCATACCAAAATATACCCTTCCCAAAGATCAGGGAATTCATGAGTCCATTCTGTCTCAACCTCTGGAGTTTATGGCTGAGGAAGTTTGAATGCTATTATCAGTCAGGCATTTCTTTCAGCCTGAATGCTCCAAGTTCCTATTAGGCAACCATTTGACTAGGCATTTCTTCTACAAGAATAATTTTTTATTGTTGCTACAATAAATGCATTGGAAGGCTCCTAAAATAGACTTTAGGGCTGTGCTGGAGGGACACAAATACCAGTTCATTAAGGCTAAAAGGTAAACACCAGTGACTGAAAAGACCTTAAACCCTACTTCTCAG